TCCTCCTCCTCCTCCCCCCCCTCCTCCTCCTTACCCCCTGTCGTGCGGGTTGGCGCTACAGCGCACGCGCGCATCTCAGCGCGCACCGCATAACGGTCGATTGAATCGGTCCATTTAGTTTTCGGACGGCCAATTTCCCTGGAGCCTCCTGGACGCAAATGAGAAGAGTTCATGTGATGCGGGCGGACATGGGAGGACTCGTAGATTCCAGCGGCGCTCCGTTGTCCATAAGGATTATTTTTGAGCTGTGGAATCCACAACCGCTCCATGTTGTCATAATGATATGTTCGAACATCCTATATAGAACAGTGGTGCCGTGTTGCACACGGTTTCTGTGATGCACACCGGCGCAGTGGTGCACACTGGCACTGCAATGCACGCAGGCATTGTGGTGTACACCGGTGCTGTGTTTAGGACGAGAAGAATAGATTGACACAGCGTGCTATTGATACGTTCCGGGGATTCCGGCATTCCTAACCGCCTTCGCGCAGGGTACACTATGCGTCGAGTAATGTCTACTCTGCTGGCTGGCGCCGTTGGTCGGCCACCCATTAGCAATCGAGTGGTCGCCCGTAGGGGCCTACTTGGAACTTGCTGATCCTCCTTCTCGCTGCCGAGCGCGGGGGGGGGGACGGTGGCGCACTGTCCCATCGCCCGCCGCCGCGCACAGCGCGCCTCGGCGGATTTTCCAAACACCTGGTAAGGCAAATCACGCGCGACTCTGGTAAGTTCTCCGGGGGTAAATTAAAAATCCGGGAACGTGTTCGAAAATGTACGGCCTACTTTTTGAAAAATACCAGAATCGATATTAAAAATTCGGGGGTCGATTTTGAAAAATTCCGGAATCCATTTTGACAAATTCTGGATTTCAGAATTCTTCAGATGTCCTGCGCGGCGGGCGCATTCCACCCCTCAAAACTGTTGTTTGAAAATTGCCGGGCTCTTTTTTGAAAACAAAAAAAAAAAACGCTTGCGCCAACAAAAAAAGGAAGCGTTTTCTGAAATATTCTACAATCCAGAAATAATTTCCGGGCGGTCCGACGGGCGCGGCCTGCTGATTCACGCACTGCGCCGCGCGTGATTGGGCGCAGCGCGCGCCGCGCGTTGCGCCCGCGAACAGCACTCGAAGGGGCCACGTTGAAAACAGCGCCACGGCAGCTGCGACTCGCGGAATCACCAAGAGCAACACAGCATGCAGCTTGGAATCTCCGAAGGCGCTCCGATTCGCGAAAAATGCACCGCGCACATCTCGCAAAGAACCTGCGTGACGCAATGCGCTCGACCATTCGTCCCTGGAGCCCGCGCGGAAGAACAGGAAAACCTGGAAATCCTGATAACTATCCATATTATTACTTCATGCTCCTCTGAATGTTGCACACGGCTGATGTGGTGTACGCAAGCGCTGTGGTGTGCACAAGAGCTGCTGTGCCCGCAGGCAAGGTGGCACAAAACTGACGCTGTGTTGCACGCGGCTGCTGTGGTGTACATAGGCGGTGTGGTGTACACAGGCGCTGTGGTGCACGCAGGCACTGTGGTGTACACAGGCGTTGTGGTACAGGCTTCAACCGCGTCCGCGCGCACGACGACTATGAGCGACGAGCGACAAGCCATGGGCGACGACGACGACGACGACGACGACGACGACGACGACGACGACGACTGCAGACCAGACTCCTACGCGGACACATACGCGGATCCCAATGCGCACGGCGGCAGTGCCAGGAGCACTGCTGGGTGGGGGGGGCGTTACGTCTTAGGGGGGGGAGCGGGGGCCATGACGCCCGTCATGCCCCAAGCAATAAAGAAACAGTCTCCTGCCACACCGCAACACCCTAACACCCGAACACCGTAACACCCTAACACCCTAACACCCACACACCCTAAGACCGGTTCCGCCGAGGGCCGGTTTCGCCGAAGGCCGGTTCCGCCGAAGGAGTGTTCCGCCGAAGGCCGGTTCCGCCGAAGACCAATTCCGCCGAGGACCGGTTCCGCCGAAGACCGGTTCCGCCGAGGACTTGTTCCGCCGAGGGCTGGTTCCGCAGAAGCCCGGTTCCGCCGCGTCCGGCGGCGAGAGCGCCCCCGCGTGAGAGCTCGCGACGGCGGAACAGGACCGGGCGGAACAGGACAGGCGGAACAGGACCGGGCGGAACAAGACGGGGCGGAACAGGACCAGGCGGAACAGGACCGGGCGGAACAGGAACCCTCGGCGGAACAGGGCTGGGCGGAACAGGACCGGCGGAACAGGACCTCGGCGGAAGAGGTCCGGTTCCAGGGGAGGGAGGAGGAGGAGGAGGAGGACGAAGACGGAGGAGGAGGAGGAGGAGGAGGAGAGGGAGGAGGAGGAGGAGGAGGACGAGGAGGAGGACGGTACGAAGGACGAGGAGGAGGACGAGGACGAGGAAGACGAGGAGACTAGGAGGAGGAGGAGGAGGATGTAGGAGGAGGAGGAGGAGGATGTATGGAGGAGGAGGAGGAGGAGGAAGGAGGGGGAGGGAGGAAAAAGGGAGTGGAAAGGAGGCAGGGGAGTAAGAAGGGAAAGAAGAGGGGCAAAAGAGGGGGGGATGAGGAGATGGGAGTGAGGGAGGATGAGGGTTGAGAGATGGGGATATGCGGAGCTTCGGCGTGTATTCTGCCTTCCTCGTAGTCTGCTTCCTCCTCGTCTTCTTAGGAGGAGCTCAGCTCTTTCATCCTCAGTCTCTCTTCAGTCCACGTTGGACCATAACCCCAATGCCCAGGTCCCTCGGGGCGCCTTCCCTTCAGGATAGCCCTTCGCTAGAGGAGCAAAAAGCACCACATTGGAGGCCCTCCAATGGGCACCAGCACCAAACACAAGCGGGGGCCCTCCCCCAGTGAAAGATGGTCCTGGAGATCGGTGCTGGTTGTAACATTTCGACCCCATGGGAAGCTGGAGTATGACCAGCATCACCGAGATCGGGAGCATCTTCCCTCGGTGGAGGCGCACAGCCGATCTTGGTGTTGGTGTCCACTTCTAGGCCTCCGAACAGAAACAGAACTTCTGGAGGTCCGCACGGCTTTCTTGGACCGGCGCCGGAACCCATCCCTGGGGGTCCAGCGCCGATCCAAGAAATCCGCGAGAACCTCCGAAAGTATGAATTGTTTGTTCTTCGACTCTCGGCACCCGGGCCCGGACAGGCATCGGCGACGTCGGCGTGGAGAAAATCGGGCTCCACATCGAGCCGCATCGGCGATGCACCGGCAATGCATCGGCGATGCGGCGCGATCCTCCGACCCCCTCCACTGCGGCAACTCGTGGGAGGCTTCCACACCATCTTGTTGCCTCTTGCGAATCGACGCTAATCGACGCCAAGTCGACGCAAATTGGCTCAAAATCGACGCTAGTCGACGCCAACTCGGCGCTTTCGCATCGATTGCCAGACGCTAGCGCACGCTAGTGCACTGCAAAGACGGAACTGCGAGTGCATGCAAGGCTCCCACGATTTGCTACCGAGGGGCCCCATCTGTGAGGGGCAACGTTAAGGGGGACTGGCCTGGGGGGGGGGGGGGGGGAAACATCAACCTGGAATCGGCGATACATCGCCGACAGATCGACGATAGGCCCCCCGTTCCTGGGCGGGGTGGGGCTGTCGGGCTCCTGTCGGCGGTGAATGGACCATCTGGGGTCGATGCATGCATACTACCCGCCCCCTCCTTGCCCCTGAACTTGGGAGGCCTAGAGACCTCAGGATCGCCCCCCGCGGCACTCCGGCCCGGACAGGCGGGCGCGCTGGAGGGACCGCGCTCGCGGCTGCCGCTGAGCCGGGGACGTCCGGGCCGTACATCGCGAGCCGCGCGGGCCGGCCGCTCGCTGCGCCCCTGGCAGGGGACGCCACCGCGTCGTCGTCGTCGTCGTCGACGTCGTCGTCGTCGCTCGTCGCTCGTCGCTCGTCGCTCGTCGCTCGTCGGTCGTCGGTCGTGGGTCGTCCGTCGTCGGCGCCGTCGTCGTCTGTCGTCGGTCGTCGGTCGCTCGTTCCGTCGGTCGGTCAGTCGGTCCGTCGAGCCGTCGGTCCGTCGGGCCGTCGGTCCGTCGGTCCGTCGGTCCGTCATCCCGTCGGTCCGTCGGTCCGTCGGCCCGTCCGTCCGTCCAGCGGCCGTGCGTCCGTGCGTCCGTCCGCCACTCGGCTTGTCTGCCCGTCTGCCCATCCGCCTGTACATCCGTCCACCCGTCTGTCCATCCGTCCGTCCGTCCATCGTCGTCGTCGTCCTCGTCGTCCTCGTCGTCGTCGTCCTCGTCGTCATCGTCGTCGTCGTGGTCATGCGTCGTCGTCGTCGTCGATGTCGGCGCCCATGGCGGAGGAGGACCCCCTCATCCGCATGTCTCGTTTTCGTTCAGGGCTTAACGACTTCTGCTGTCCCTCGACTCGCGCTAGAGCGTCCACGATTCGCTCCAGATTTCCGTGGAGATCTCTGGATTTGCCTAGATGTATCTGGATCTACCTAAAATTGTCTGGATACATCTCAATATATCTGGCTTGATCCTCGCAAGTCGATTGGCGAAAAGTCGTCAAGCCCTGAGAGATGTTTTCCGCTCCATCCATCACCAGCAAAAACTCACGACGCATCGAAACGCCAGAACTGATCTTCGAATAGTGGCAATCACCAGGACGGCAGAAGCCAAAAAAAGCCAGACGGTGGCACAACCATGCCAGTGTAAGTCCTTTGGTCCATGTTTCTGTGCACGAACAGCCATAGACGCTTCCCAGTGCATTCAGCCGCCGCGGGCCCTCGCCGGGCCTCGGGGCCGTCAAAAGGCGGCTGGGGATGGAAAACGGGTCCTGGGACAGGGATCCCATCCTCCACGGGTCCACGTTGTGAACAGAATCATGCCGTCGGAGCTCTGGGTCCTCCGAGAGCCCCTCCTTCCCCTGCGGACAGGTGAAGCAGGCGTCCTGGGGCATGTGGAGGTGGAGCCGGCCTCCTCCTCCTCCTCCTCCTCCTCCTCCTCCTCCTTCCTCCTTCCTCCTCCTCCTCCTCCTCCTCCTCCTCCTCCTCCTCATCCTGCTTTTCCTGCGACCATAAATCACACCAAGACACAAACGCGCACCCTCTGAGCGTGTACCCTCTGAGCATGAGCAGGCGCCTGTTTTCTCCTCCTCCTCCCCCTCCTCCTCTTCCTCCTCTTCCTCCTCCTCCTGCTCCTCCTCCTCAGCATCATCATGAGCAGCAGCATCATCATCATCATCATCATCATCATCATCATCATCATCATCATCATCATCATCATCGTCGTCATCATCAGCATCATCAACATCATCAGCATCATCAGAATCATCATCACCAGAATCAGCATCATCAGCATCATCAGAAGCAGCGTCCGTCATCATCGCCATCATCATCGGAACCAGCATCATCAGCAGCAGCAGCATCAACATCAACAGCATCAACAGCATCATCAGCATCAACATCGTCATCATCATTATCATCACAATCCTCATTATCATAATTGCCTTCATCCTCATCATCAGCAGCAGCATCGTCATTATCATCACCAGCAGCAACAACAGCAACTAAGTACTACTACTACTACTACTACTACTACAACTACTACTACTACTACTACTACTACTACTACTACTACTACTACTACTACTACTACTACTACTACGACTACTAATAATATACTACAAGTACTACGAATACTAACATTATTACAATTACTACTACCACTACTACTCCTATTATTATTATTACGACTACTACTACTACTACTACTACTACTACTACTACTACTACTACGACTACGACTACGACTACGACTACGACTACGACTACGACTGCGACTACTACTACTACTACTACTACTACTACTACTACTACTACTACAATAACTACAATACTACGACGACTACGAGCTACGACTACGACTACGACTACGAACTACGACTACGACAATCGACTAACGACTACGACTCGAAACTTCTTCTATTCTACAGCTACTGCGGCTATTACTACTACACTACTACTACTAACTACTACTACTACTTCAACTACTACTACTACTACTACTAATTACTAACTACTACTACTACTACTACAACTACGACAACAACGACTGCTGCTAACCTACAATACTATTACAACGACACTACTACTACTACTACTACTACCACTACTACTACTACTAAACCAACTACCACAAACAACTACTGAACTAACTACACAACTACAGCAATTACTGCTATTACTACTACTACTACTACTACACTACTACTACTACTACTACTACTACTAGTACTACTACTACTACTACTACTACTACTACTACTACTACTACTACTACTACTACTACTACGGCTACTTCCTCTTCTTCTACTACTACTATTACCACCACTACTACTGCTACTGCGACTACTACTAGTAATACTACTACATCTACTACATATACTACTATTACTACGACTACTAGTACCACTACCACTACACCTACCACTACCACTACTACTACTACTACTACTACTACTACTACTACTACTTCTATCTACTAGCTACTGCCAATACTACTACTACTACTTGCTGGATGACCTACTAATAGTATTACTACGACGACGACTAACTACTACTACTACTACTACTACTACTACTACGATTTGACTACGAGTACTACTAACTACTACTACTACTGTCCGACTACCACTACTACTACTACTAGCTACTACTTACTACTTCATTAGCTGACTACTACTATACTACTACTACTATACTACTACTACTACTACTACTCCTACTACTACTAGTACGACTACTTACCACTACGACGACCGAATACTACACTACGCACTACTACTACTACTACTACTACTAACTTACTACTACTACTACGCTCTGCCAGAAAGGGTGTTACGAGGGGAAAAGGAGCGGGCAGGAGGGGGACTCCTGTGATCATGGGGAGAGGGGGGCATGAAGTTAGACCTAAATGTGAACGGTGACGACTACTCCTACTACTACTACTACTACGACTACTACTACTACAAGTATTACTACAACTACTACTACTACTACTACTACTACTACTGCTACTACTACTACGACCAGTAATATCACGAGTACTACTACTACTACTACTACTACTACTACTACTACTACGACTGCTACTATTACTACTACTACTACTACGACTACTACTAATACTCCTACTACACCTACTACTACTACTACCACTACTACTACAACTACTACGACTAGCATTACTACTACTACTACTAGTATTAATACTACAAATAATAATCATAATACTAATACTACTACTACTACTACTACTACTACTACTACTAATACTACTACTACTACTACTACCACTACTACTACTACTACTACTACTACTA